GAGTTTTATGCAAAAGGAAAGGAAACTCAAACTATCAAGATTGGTTTTTCTAAACCCTCCTTCTGATATTAGAGCTCTTCTTGTGAGTGAATTCTTTGAGAAAACTAGAGTTTAGCTAAGAGATAGATGTTCATTATATAAACTAGAAAATGACCCACGCGCTGCGTGGGTTTAGTAATATATTATGTTGTCATAGAAGTCAGTTTTTAGAATCATAACAGTTGAAAATAACTTTAAATATTAAAAATTTGACTAATATCTATGTTGTATCTCATTATTTTTGTTTTTTAAGATTGCATAATCTAATGTTTAAATGCACTTAAAAGTTTCTATGGAAATTATACTTTTTTAAAAAACACTTACACATTCAACACTTATATAAGGTAATTCCATCTTCATTCATAATAGTGTCATTGTGATTTCAGAACACTCTTTAGCCTACCACTTTTTGTGATTTTAAACCACTACTTGACTTACCGCTTTTTGTTATTTTGAGATGTTAATCTTGTGATGTAAGCTGAACATCATCTTGTCAAATAAAAAGGTAATATACTTTAAATATGTTGTTTCCACCAATTTTTGGGCTGAAAACATTTGATTTAGGTGATGAACTTTTAAATGTGTTTTTCTATTTGATTATGTTATATAGTTGTAGTTTAACTTGAGATATATCTTACATAATTTACATATCACTTTTTTTGTTAACAACTTACATATATTTTATTATACAACTCATGAATAATATAACCAATTATTTTTTTTTAGAAGATAGATCATAACGTTTTTGAATTTTTAGGATTTGTTTCCATTATTTCACAAAAAAGTGTGACTCTTTCCATGTCTTTGTCTTAAATTAAAAATTGTAAGTTGGATTTAGTAATTTTTTCTTAATTAAGTGAATATTTCATAATAAAGAAAAACTTTCTGTAGTATATTGCTCTTACAAATTAATGTTTTACTTTAAATTTTATTTTATTTATTTAAAATTACAGAAACAATTACATAAATTGTTTTTACTCTACGATGCATTTAAATTTTACTTCCATACTAAAACTCATTTAACACATTTAAAAATTTGAAATATAATCATTTTTTTTATGTTGAAAGTTGAATAATATTATTATTACTAATACAATTTTTATAGTATTACTTTTACTATTTTAAAATTTCATTTCTTTTATGTAATTCTTTTTACTTTAATTATAATTTCTGTTATTATAATTAAAATTAATATAAATAAATGTGAATTAAATGAATATTGTAATTAGACTTTATTTATAAAAAAAAATTAACTAATGACATGGCTTTATTTAATTGGATGTTTAACATGATGATGTGGACACCTTAAGAGGAGAGAAAACTCTCCCATTATATATATAGATTGTAAAACTATTCGTTTTAGAAAGAAGAAGAAAAAAATCCCCAAATAGAAAAACTAGAAGAAGTAATTTCCGGCATCAGCGTTAAGAAGTGGTTTCATTTTTTTTTTTTTTTTGATAAACCCTATCGGCTATCCGGTCGGCCCCGGTAGGAACGCACCGTGGTGCTACATAGTGAACTGGTCCACCGTGTTAACGGTTAGGCCCTTACGGGCTACCACTCTGCCTATCCCAAATTTGGAATGCCTTCTGACTAAGTGCCAGAGGGTAGTCAGGCCGCCTGCATTTCTGGCTACCAGGTAAACCAATTGGGCCAAACGCCCAACTGACAGACA